GTGTGGGTGAGGGGTAGGTGAAGCGGGGTGGTTGTAAAGGCATAAAAGATCATGTTGCGCTCACCTCATATGACCTCAACCGTCAACTGCTGGATTTGTTATTGCAGTTTTGTATATGGACGTGTTTTTGTGTTAAGGCGGGCAGAAAATAAAATGCTGCTTTGATTTTTAGTTCAATCATTTTGAGAAAAGAAAATGTCATCAACCATCACTAGCAGCCATTTTGAATTTAAAAAAAGCAGGTCACATAAGAGAAAGCACTCTGATCGCATGGAGAGAGAGAGAGACGGAGAGCGTAAAATGAAAGTCATGGTGACTCAACGGCTGTAACAGTGAAATTTTAGAAGTTGCAGAAGTGATCAGTTTAGACCATTGCGAGCTGTCGCAAGCAGGGGGGGAAGAAAAAAAGAAAAGAGATGCAGACAGGGATGAGAGGAAAACGTAGCCCCTCGCGTCGTGTTTTTGTCTGTTACTGTGACATCACCAGCCTCGAGGAGCAGCTACAGATGGTGTCCACGGTAACAGAGCAGTCAGACACTTCTCCTCTAATACACAGTGACTCCTGAAATCCGCCCGATCGCTGCCAGAGAGAGAAGCTCGCCAAAGGAAACGCTACAGATAGAGCATGCCCTGCAGCCACGACTAGTTAAGGAGCATCTTTCACTGCTTGTCTGCGTTTCCATCGCGAAAAAATTCAAACTATGTCGACGAAAGATAGATACATCACCTCCGATAATTCTTATCACTGACCAGCTCTTTCGACTCCACCATGGGATCTCAGTCTGAGCAGGACATTGCACTGTCTCATGATAATGACGGGATTTAAGGATAATTATGCAAATCAAACGTGGGCTGGGCTATGGAAGCTTCAAATTCTTCTTTTTAGGGATTTTTCATAATACCTGATAATGAGTGAATAGATGAGTTTGTCACTGCTTCATGCAAGACATGTAAAAACAATCAAAAATGATTCATCCACATCATTAGCTGTTTCCCTAGAATCAGTGTAGGCTGATGAGCAGAGGGCATATTTGTCTTCATTGTTCAAAGTGTGTTTCAGGAAAGTGCTTCCAAGTTCAGGTGATAAGAACTATGAGGGGGGTTAAACTACATATTATAGGTCATGATTTAGTAGAATAATACGACGTTAATACAGCGGGGTTTTTTCACCAAGCAGCCGCTGCACTACTGAACTTTCCCTGCCTTCTTTAAGTTCAATCCAGGCCATGCTTTATTTTAATAGTGAGAGTCTGCACTTCCCCCGGTGAGCTCAGACTTGCCAAAATCCAGGCCAAACTGGGAACAATAATCCCACTGGCTACTGGGCAGGCTGTTTGATGATAAGTTGCAATAACATGTCCCACCCTGAGCGCACTCTCTTCTAGCTCTCTGTCTCACACTCGTAGACACACACCCAGCTTTGGTGATTGTGTGGGATTTAAACAAACAATGAACCAATGAGTAAAGAATGCTGGGTGGGGCTGTATCCCATCCTTTTAAGGAGCAGACGTGAAGCATGCAGCAAGATGTTGCACTGTGCATGTGCGCGAGCCAGCAAGAAGGAGGGAAACACGAGACAGGTGAAGAAAAACGTCTCTCCCGTGAAGACTATAGTTAAAAGTATTCAGTAAAATGGGGGCTTTTGTATCCATTTGACTTGCAACCTTTAAATATAGTTTGTTATAAAAGTCTGAATGGATTAAGGCCAAAAAACCAGATCATCTCTGAACTGCTGCTACATTATGAACTGTCCACACATGTCTTACACGAGCCAGCTATTCTTGCATGTGGCACAGCTAAACAGCGATATGCAGCATTCAGTTATAATTCTGCTCTTTTCAGGAAAACGCCTGCAGAAAACAGGTAAACTGTAACTTCAAGGTCTTTTAAAGTGAGGCCAAGGAGATTCCTAGCTTTACTGTTTTAGGTTTTATTTTATTTTTCTAACATATTCAACATGGTCACTTGATTGTTTCAATTTTTACTGTCTTATTTCTGGTATCAACGTTCTGATTTCGTGACAGCCCTACTTGGTAGATTTACATTTCGTATATGTCAAGATGCAAACATCAGCGGAACCACTCAGTCTCCAGTTTATTAAACTTTTTC